GAGAGGTGCTGTGATAAATCCTGCAGGACCAGCTGGAAGAGGATTTCTTTCTTCTGCAATAGTGGTCCCATACTTCATGACCTTTGTACTCAGGTTCATCTCAGAGACTACAGAGAGTTGTACTCAACTGATAGTTCTGTCACAAACCAGCAATCAGAAGTGACACAGATGCCAAACAAGCAATGCACACGGAGATCTACTGATTACAGTCAAAGGCTTGGAGCTTTGCAATGAGAGAGTCGGGGAGAATGCTTTTAGTTGTAAGTGTATTTCAGCCATTGCCTGGAAATGCCTGTGTACTACTTGCATGCAGAGCCAATCAAGACCAGAGGAGAGCATCAGATGCCTTGAAAGTGGAGTAGCAGAGGGATGTGAACAGCGATATGGGTGCTGAGATTGGAATCCCAGTCCTCTGGTAGAGCACTCAGTGATCTTGTTTAAAAAGCCATTCCCCCAACTCTCTGGCTCATTTTTAATCGCCAGTGGGCTGTGTGTGCATGTGTGTGTGTGTGTGTGTGTGTGTGTGTGTGTGTGTGTGCTTCTATTCCTCTTTACCACTATGGCTGGAAGGAGAATCAAACAAATCTCCTACATCTCACTGATGCCTTTCCCACTGCTTCAGCCTGGCAAGCAGAATGTACAACCCGACTGCTTCTTGAGCCCTTTCCTGTTGCTCTCCACAGGACATTGTTACTTACCTGGAAGATTCTCTTCACTAGTGAGGTCTTGGTGTTGTTGTTGTTGTTCAACATCCGTTTCTCCCACCTGGGCTGTATCTGCTACATAATCTGAGGGGAGTGTATCACATGAAGCCACACTGGTTCTCATGAAATTAACCCCAGTTCTTCTTGGGATTTTCCATGGAGCCTCTGTGGCAGAATCATTTTCTCTCATTTAACCTTCAGCCCTTCTTCCCAATAGGAACTTGGACTGAGGTTTCTCAGAAATGAAACACTAAGATATTTCCTCAACAGGGGAGGGATTTCAGATACTTACAAGTCTGTACCACGGTGGAAGCCATCTGCAATGACAAGGTAGTTAATTCAAGGAGGAAGCAAGAGGGATGGATGCTAGTGTCTATCCTATACCCTGACTGTGCCATTCATAAAAGCTCTTTTCCCATAAGGTTTTCATTGGTAAGGAACCGTTCTACCACTCCATAAAACAGAGCACAGTATGCATAACACATGCTACTATGTTTAGAGAGCCAAACTTAAATGAAATAGGAAATTCAGGCAGTAATATTTCTATTTTGGCCAAAGAAAAGTCACCTTACCTCATCATGAGGTTCCAACTCTTGTTTTCTAAAAATCATATGTTTAATGTCTGGGATATCTTGTATTTCTAGGAAGACAGAGTGACTGTTAATCATTGGTGCTGTGGCCCATGGCTTCCTTAGAGAGCACTGCTTAATTTACACAACAAGATGGCTGTGCTTTAAAGGCTAGATTGAGTGGCTACTGGAACATCATCCTCGGTGACAGCACTGAGTCAATGAGGAGCAAGGAAGGAAAGGAAAACGGAACACTTGCACTATGCTGATAGCAACAGATGAGGAGACACTCTTCCAGTGTTTCAAGTCTCTCACTCATATCAATCACTTGAAGACCAGAGAGTGGGTCTTCTAAGACCAAGAAACAACACGAGTTTTAACTTATGCTGGGTGGAATCTAGTACAAACTCTCGAGGACACTATCTCAAGGATCAGATAATCCAGGGTTCCCAATGGAATATGGTTTATAAAGTGTCAGTAGTGAACATGAGAAGATAAAGACTATGAAAACTCTCCTGTCTGCCGTACATCTCGGTCCCCCAGGATGCTGGAAACCAAGTGAGGCTTACAGCAACCCGGAAGGCTATTCAAGTACCATGAACTACGTGGCATTTTACCCTCCAGTGCTGTCAGGCTCCACTCCCAGTTCAGTGTATGGACTACAAAGGGGCAGTCACACATCAGGGAAAGGACACCCTTAGGGGTTGTTGTGTTGGAGCAGGACCGAGGGGGGTTACTGCACAGCTTTTCTCTGGAGCAGACATTATTGTTAGAGTGGACCAATAGATCTACAGAATTTCTGTCCTTAGATTAGAAAGGAATATTCCCAAATAATGTGCTGCTGAAAGTGTGGTCATATCGTGTTTTTCTGGTGGTTTCCTCGGTGGCAAACATTCCATAGAATGAAATCACAATGAAAATTGTGGAGATGATCTACACACTTCACACATTCTTTCGACAATCTAAACCCTACACTTGTGGAGGACAATGTACACACACACACACACACACACACACACACACACACACACACACAGAGCGAGTCCTGAGTACAACCAAGACATGAAGCTTTATGTCTTTCCCATTGACACTGAAGCTCTGCTCAGATAGGAACATAGAGCTTAGAATTCTCTACCCTCTGGTGTATTGAAGCTACCTTCCAACAGAGCAACAGAGTCCCAGAACAAAGACTAGAATACTTGTTGGTTTTGTACAGTCACAACTCATTCCAGTCATTCACTCACTACTACACAGAAAACCCTGGAAACACTCCATGACAGAAAATAATTACTCTAAGCAATTCATTCAGAAAGTCACTGAAGAA